TCTTTCACCGGCTTGGCATCACCAGTATTTATGTGATGCTGCACCACGTCCGTGCGACCAATGTCATGGTCACCCTTGGACAACACGTCCTGAAAGTCTACAAGACATTTCCGGACATCCCCATGGTAGATAGCCTCCACATTAGCTGTACCCCTCTCAAACAAATCTTGCAAGTGCTGGGGTAACTCTTCACCAGCATTTGTCACCCTATCCAACTCACCATGAATTGAACCAACTTCCACCTGGGAGATCAGTCCCGCTGTTGTACCCTCACGTGCAACTCTTTTCTCCCTTCCGGGATTAAAGACCCGCAACGCAACAACATCGGCTTCAGTCTCAACCAGAGATCTGGCCAACACCAAGCCCTTCTTGGCTAGGTCACCGCCACCTTCCATCGGTTCTACCATGGCAGGCCCGACCAAGTCGGCACCCTTCCGAGCAATTATACCCGGGACCACGGCCTCATGACCTGACGGAATCACCGTAGTTCTAGAAACTACAACACGCCCAACAAAATGCTCGCCAGCACCATTTGTGCATTTGATTCGCTCACCTTTGAGCCTCCACTCCTTCGACTGGAAATCCAAATTTCCACCTGTGGGTACCAGGAAATCCATGCCCAGGATACCACAGTATTTCATGTCAACACTGCCCTGACTTGGTGCGTGGTTCGACCCACTTGTACCTCTACCCAAGCTATACCCAACACGGCTAGCTGACTACCGTCAACTTGCTTCACCTGCACGTCTTCTGTCTGTAAGACGGGTCTCTTTTCCTTAGGAATTTGGTAGTACACCGTACTGTTTATCAAAGTATCGGTGGACCCCATGTCGATCAAAAATCGACACTTTGTCGTCCTGACCATCCCATCAACAAACAAACCATAACGAGCTCCACTACTGGGATTAGGCAGAGTTATGACTCGTTGCCCATCCCCAGGCTTCGACTTTTTCTCTCCACCACCACCCTCGCTGTCACCGTGTTGTCTCTTGAACCCTTTTGACCTCTCAGCCTTCCCGCGGGTTCTACGGGGGGCTGACTGACATTTCCCTGCTTTGGAGTTTTCTTGCACTCCCGGGCAAAGTGCCCTTTGTCACCACATCTGAAACACCGCAAGGCCCCAGGTTCAGGCTTCCCGGGCTTGTGAGTCTGGGGAGACAACACGCCCTTACCCTGACCTTGACCTTTAATCTGACTTGACAAAGACTTCACCAATTCAGCCACAGAGTCCAAAGTTTTGGCCTGCTTATTGAGATTTTCCTCGAGAGTGTCCAGCCTCTGTTCAGTTACTGAACCCAAAGCTCTTGCCAACTTGGCGGGCTTCCGGTCCAGCAATCTGTGCTGTTCCACCTTCTCGAAATTTTCAGTCTGCAGGGCAGCCTGGACTGCTTCATCCAAAGTTTTTGGACGAGCCCTTTTGATGCCCTCCCTAACTGAATGACTGTCAACAGCATCTATGAAGTGGTTCTTAGCCAACCTCTCACGAGCATCTTCCTGCAACTCAGGGTATGCTCTCGCTGTCAATTCGTGAATCGCTTGCCCTAATTCAAGCAGAGTCTCCTTCGGCTTTTGGCGCCGATGTCTCAGTTCGACGAGGTAATTTTCACTCTGTCGAGCTGACCAAAACCTGCGCTCCAGCAACTTTACAAGCGCACTATACGTGTACTTGTGGCCAGAGTCACCGAATAACCGTAGAGCGTCTCCCTGCAAGCTTGCGGCTAACCACCTCACAGCCTGCTCCTCACTCCACATATTCACCTCACGACACGACTCCAAATGGCGGAAGTACTCCTTCCAGAGCACCTTTCCGCTGTACCGATCAGGGGTTATGTTTGGCCTGCGATTTGGTCGCTCCAAACTACCCATCTGACCCACATCACCATGGACCCGTGCCTGTCTTTTCAGCGGCCACGGTCCTACCGACGAGATGTCAACTTGAGCTGAACTGTTGTTCTTCGTCTCGACTGGTCGAGTTGCAAAACTTAACAATTCGCTCTTCACCTGTTTCGGGGTTACCATCCCCATGTCACCAACGAACGGGTTGGTACTCGCCAAACCCCGTTCCACGCCACCTTCAGGGATGAACGACATCAGATCACCATCTGGATCATCCGTCTTCCTGGCAACAGGCGTCGACTGCGCTCGGGGGAATATCCCTGAGCTCTGTCCTTTCTGAGGTGTACTTTCCATGAAAGTCACCTCCCTCCCCACATTAGGGGCCTTCCAAGGCGAACTTTCCATGAAAGTCACCTCCCTCCCCACTTTAGGGGCTAACTCAGGCACCATATTTGCGCCTGAAATTCTTTCTGTTGCTCCAGAGACAAAACCGGAAGTCTCTTCGGGCAACCTGAGCTCAACATCGGAATCAACCCGATGGAGCACACGCTGGCTTCCACCTGGCATACCCATGTTTCCTTCCTTTGGGGAAACACCCGACTGCAAGTCCATGGCAGCCTTCAACTTCTTTGCAATGAGGTCATTTTCCCATTGCAGAAATTGGGCTTCCAAACGCAGTCTTTGCACCTCGGCCTCAGCACTTGAGGTGTCCACTCGACCCTTAGAGCCCTCGCTCATAATTCCAAACAACCACCGAAATCACCACAGAAATCAACAACAACAATTCAAGACCAACCGTGCAATTCAATTTTTCAACAGAGAAATCAACTTCATCATTCACAATCATCCCACTTCTGACACCATTTGTAGCGGGAACCCCCCGGGCCAACCCAAGTCTGTTAGGATAAGTCTGACTCCTAGTGGGGTGAAGACAATCTTCCCAAACCATGGCCCTTCCCTAGACGAGAGATCAATCAGAGCGACCTTCAAGGCTAAGGGTGCAGGTCCGTTTTGGTGCAAATCTACCGCCCGATTATGAATGAGTGTTGATTATTTTTCTCTGTTAATTAATTGCACAATAAACCTGTAAACATAAACACTGGAAGCAGAATTGTCGGTAATCTCAAACAACAATGATCGTAATTTATTCAACAATAATCAAGTACAACAATTAGGATGTGATTCGGTGGGTTGTTTTATTAACAGGGTCCTTAGTTACTGGAGAAAGCCCGCTGCTTGCCTATGCAACAACGCACACAGCATTAAGCACCAGACAACAATGGCAGCAATGAGCAACTATGCACAGCGCTAGGAATGAATCACTGAGTCAGCAATACACAGCGTTACAAGCACACAACAGCCGCTTAGCAATGTATACAGTCCGTTAGCAGGGTACTCGCTACGCCGTGTGTGTAAGCCAGAATTCAGCTACACACACCAGCGCAACCCCAGTACAGCTACACAGACTTTGTACACAAATCGCCTAAGCAATTTCACATAGCAGAGCACAAGTAATGTACCTACTTCCCTGCTCGCTGTCGCAGCTACGCTCTAGCCCGCTACCTCCAGACACTCGGCACTCAACACCCAAAACAGCTGAGCCCCGAACCTAGACACACTAGTATCTCACCTAACAACGATTATCTTCTAAAGCCAAACCGTTAAGCTTCCTGATCTGAAAACAGAACTTCCAAACACAGCGCGCTCTCCAGGCACGCATTTATATACCAGGTACATGTAGACGCTACGTCATGTCTACAAACCATGTGCGTATACTAACCCTATGGTGCGCTAAACCTATGGGGAAAATTAGCCAATCACGTACGCGCAGCAGCCCACGGAGCTCGTAAGCTCCGCCCGGTCACTGCACACAAGTGATTAAGCGTTAGTGCTATGGTATGACGTCACAACTGAACACTTTCCGCCACACTACCGATCTATTCACACACAAAATAATTGGATTATTCCTTCTTGCTTGTCATTTATTTAGGAGTAATCAAGAAGTAAAGGTGATCTCCAACAATCCGTCAATAATTGACGTTTTTAGAATTCAAGCGCGTTTTTTTATTTTACTTGCCATTTTACATTTTATGTCATGTGTATATTCATCGTCTATTTTTTTTTTTACATAAAGTATTAAGTATTATCATTTCATCATTTCGAGAAGTTTGAAACCAATTTTAATCGAGATAAGTTCATGTTGTTTTGATTGTTTCAGTTTTATATATTTACTCGACTTTTACTTTAGTGTTTTAATGAGCTGTCCATCCATATGCATTTTTTTTATGGATAAATTTCAAGTATTTTGAATTCAATTAAATTGGCTCACCATTTTGACCATCCTCGAGTAAACATTTTTACCATAGCATCAGTTACGGTGCTAGAAGAGTTGAACGAGGAAAGGGAAAAAAAGAGAAAAGCCAAGCCACTCTCAACTTTAAAATTAATTTGAAACTTCTAGGAATCAACCCGCGCGAAAATTCAATTATGCTCTGTTGTATTCCCATCTCCCAGAACACATACCGAAACAATAAGGCCCTTTGATGAGAAATCGAAAATTGTTACATTCTGCTGAAAAATTAATGCACAAGAAACGTCAAACATGCTTTTTTTTTTCTCCGTATACTGTGTGTTTATATAATAACAAAATAATGGACTCATCTTGCCGATGTTTTTTTATTCTGTTTTTATCTCTTTCACGAAAAGCCAGGCGATTGAATAGAATTTCAGTACCGTGTTTACGTATAGGACGGTTGCTCTGTGTTCCGTGCGAAATTAGTGTGTGCACTTCTTTGTGTAGGCCTAAAAATATCCCCGGGGTAAAAAAGAAAATGGGAAGATGCAAGAGTCAAAAACTGCCGCCGTTTCACTGCTTTCAACGAGAAAATTTGATTAAGAGTGTTGTTGCCGATGCAAAATCAGGAGTCCAATCAATTTTATTGTTTTATTGAATTATTTTTCTTTTTTTTTGGTTTTGGTTGTTGGTTTTTTTGCGCATCAACTATCTATATATAAGAGAGAGACAGGCTTGTTTGCTTGCCAAGCCGAGATCTTAAAAGCAGAAGAAGTAATCTTTGCGATCAAACCTCATCGTCTTAAAGGTTTAAAAGTTGATCCACTGTAAGTCGCAGTGCAAGCGAAGCCTTTGACAAACCATGTAATAAGCTCACTTATAAGAAACTTGAATTATTTTTCCCAAACCATGGAAAACCAGTCTGTAGCCAACTCCACTGAGTTTCTTGAGGATCCATCGTTGTCGTCTGAGGCACCCATTGCTGCCAATGGCAGCCTGTTCAAAGTGATTGTGCATGCGATATTGTTTGTAGTCGGCGTACCGGGTAACTGCCTCATCCTCCGTGTGTACTGGACCAAGACCCACAAGACCAGCACCCACATCTTCATCATGGCCTTAGCCTGGGCCGATCTCGCCGTCTGCTCTCTGAGGTGGCGACGCATTTCGGTAGAATCCATCCTGTTAGCTGGAGGCCAGATCCCAAAAGTTCTTCACATCATCTGGGCATTGACGACGACCAGCAGCGCAGCATCCGTTCTGTTCACCGCAGTTATCGCAGCAGATCGCTACGACTGTGTGTGCCGAGCGCACAACCGATTCTTCACCAAGAGACGGGCCCAGGCAGCAGTCTGCATGGCACTTTCGTTTTCGTTCGCCATCAACATTCCGGCGTTCATTGCAATGATCACCGATCCTTCCGATGTGGTCCTGAGGATGCTCGTGTTGGCATTTCAGGTTCTCTGTTTTGGGACTGCATTGGTCATGATCGCAGTGTGCTACGGACTGGTCTATGTAACCATTCGGAAGCACGTCAGAGTGGGTGTCCTTGCGAAAACCATGTGGGGTCCAGCGGTGGCTGGTATGCCCGACTTGATGACAGCTCGCTCCGCTGTGTCAAAGACTTGTGACACCAACATAATACTTGTTCCTGTGACTACGCACACCGATCCATCACCTAACATCAGTGCTACCGATAAGACTACTGACGCACCCTCCTCGTCTCGGGGAATTCCCGGCCCCTCCCTTGATGCTGCCGGGGAGAAAAATCCACGCAAACTTCAGCCAGTAAACGAAGAACGACCCCGCAATCTCAAAGGGGTAAGTCTACAGCGTAAGACGACAAGGATGCTCTTCATCACTAGTGTGGTGTTCCTGCTGCTCTGGCTGCCCTACTGGACGAAGGTTGTCCTGGAGTTTGCCTCCTTTGGACTCGAGACACCGATCAACCCGACATTTATGAGAATACTGGGAGATTCGACCGCCCTTCTGTTCGTCAACAACGCCGTGAACCCAGTTATCTACGGACTCGCAAACAAACGATTCAGAAAAGACTGCTGGCAAGTGCTTCAAAAGATCAAATTGTGGTAAAATAAACTCAAATAAAGGCATTTAGATGAGTTCACAAAACAATTGTATAAAAACAAAATGTTAAATTTCATCAACACCGTTGTCATGTTCCAAACCAGTTGTTTCACGGAAATACGCGTACGGGTATGGGATCTGAAAACTATAGTGACGTCGCCCTAATATCAGCATTTTGTGTTATTATTTAATCTGGTACACAATCGACAATGTACACCTCACCTCAAAATCCAAATGTGTTGTGTAAATCTTGTGAAATTTTCACCCCAAAATGGTGATTTAAAGGCTACTTGTTTCGTGCGGATACGTATCCCATTTGCGTGCATTTCTAATGGTCCCTGTTTCTAGCCTCTGGCGCAATTTAATCCATATTACGACCAGCCTCGCCCTGTGCTTAAAAATTCTCCTCATAACTCTCCAACAGTGGCGTATCCAGAGGGGGATGGCAGAGTGGGCACTCCGCGCCCCCCCCCCCCCCGGCGGCTTTTTTTAATAACATTTTTTGTTCAGCAACTATACTTTTGAGTAAATGGTTAGAGAGTTCTGTCATCAATCCCAAAACTCCGATATTGTTATTATTATTATTAAGTGGTGTGATGTACACGCAGGCGCGGTTCTAGAACCAATATTTGGGGGGGGGGGGGGCTAGCAGGGTGGGTCCAGAATTTTTTCCCAGGGAGGCGTGCTGAAATGTAGACCGGTTATTTTCTCCACACACTTAGGCCTCCGAAAATCAATAGGTGGAGGGGGGGGGGGTGTCATGCCATATTTTCAATGGGGAGCCCAATAAAATCCTACAATCATTCACACTATATTAACTACAAATGCACCCTTGTCACGACTATTTCTTTAGGGGGAGACCGTTCGCATGTACATCACAATCCTTCTTTTTGCTAATGCAATTTCTTTTTACGGAATTTATTTTTTTGGGGGGGGGGGGGGGCTAAAGCCCCCCCCCCCCCGTAGAACCGCGCCTGTGTACACTTATGTTTTGTAAATTATTGTGTAGACAGTGACGCATTGAAATTTAACAATATTCTAGCGTATATTTCTGATTTGATTAATTTGCCAGACAAGTTTCTTTGACTCAAAACTAAGCCCCTATTCTATCCAACACAATGACCTGGACAAAACCAGATTCATTTTTGGTAATTCTATGCATGCCCAGAATGATCAAACTATATAGTCCCAGATCTCCCAGATGTAGCAAGATGTTATCAGGGTACTCTCCAACCCAAACTGGAGGTCAAGGGCGGATCCAGAACACAATATTGGGAGGGGGCAAGAAAGAAATTGGTCCCCATAAAAGTGGGTTCAAGGCCCCGAGTTTTATTTTTTTTTTTTTTTTTTTTTTTTTTTTTTTTTACATTTTGGCAATTTGATTTTCAAGAGCAGTCATCATGGAGCTATCCACTCCGTTCACAAGTACCCCCTCACCGGCAAAGAAAGTACAGTTGTGGTGACCGAACGACGCCGTCTTGCCTGACTGCAATATTTTTGCCGCGAATTGAAGCGCTGCCACTGCGTGTACGTAGTACAAATCCCCTGGTGTACGTGCGTCACACACAAGGAACGGTGCGCGCGTTTCAACCAGCAAAATGTACATGTATGTGTCCCACCCATTGATCTCCATAATATAATCTGTATATGGAGATCAATGGTCCCGCCCATGCGACGTCGTTGCTAGGTAATAGGGCGCCCTCTTGTTGGCGCACGGAGCCCATAGAACAATAAAGGATCGTTTGGCATTTATCTCAAAGAGTAACCTACCGATCTATTCACACAAAAAATACTTGGATTATTCCTTCTTGCTTGTCATTTATTTAGAAGTAATCAAGAAGTGTAGGTGATCTCCAACAATCCGTCAATGATTGATGTTTTTAGAATTCAAGCGCGTTTTTTACTTTACTTGCCATTTTACATTTTATGTCATGTGTATATTCATCGTCTAATTTTTTTTTAACATAAAGTATAAAGTATTATCATTTCATCATTTCGAGAAGTTTGAAACCAATTTTAATCGAGATAAGTTCATGTTGTTTTGATTGTTTTCAGTTTTATATATTTACTCGACTTTTACTTTAGTGTTTTAATGAGCTGTCCAACCATATGCAATTGCCCTTTTATGGATAAATCAGGTATTTTGAATTGAATTGAATTGAATTGGCTCACCATTTTGACCATCCTCGAGTAAACATTTTTATCATAGCATCAGTTACGGTGCTAGAAGAGTTGAGCGAAGAAAGGGAAAAAAAGAGAAAAGCCAAGCCACTCTCAACTTTAAATTTAATTTGAAACTTCTAGGAATCAACCCGCGCGACAATTCAATCATGCTCTGTTGTATTCCCATCTCCCAGAACACATGCCGAAACAATAAGGCCCTTTGATGAGAAATCGAAAATTGTTACATTCTGCTGAAAAATTAATGCACAAGAAACGTCAAACATGCTTCTTTTTTTTTCTCCGTATACTGTGTGTTTATATAATAACAAAATGAAGGACTCATCTTGCCGATGTTTTTTATTCTGTTTTTATCTCTTTCACGAAAAGCCTGGCGATTGAATAGAATTTCAGTACCGTGTTTACGTATAGGACGGTTGCTCTGTGTTCTGTGCGAAATTAGTGTGTGCGCTTCTTTGTGTAGGCCTAAAAATATCCCCGGGGTAAAAAAAAAGGGAAAGAAAGATGCGAGAGTCACAAATTGCCGCCGCTTCACTGCTTTCAACGAGAACATTTGATGAAGAGTCTTGTTGTCGATGCAAAATCAGTTTGTTTTATTGAATTATTTTGCTTGTTTTGGGGTTTTTTTTGTTTGTTTTTTTGCGCATCAACATATCTATATATAAGAGAGAGACAGGCTTGTTTGCTTGCCAAACCGAGATCTTAAAAGCAGAAGAAGGAATCTTTGCGATCAAACCTCATCGTCTTATAAGGTTTAAAAGTTGATCCACTGTAAGTCGCAGTGCAAGCGAAGCCTTTGACAAACCATGCAATAAGCTCACTTATAAGAAACTTGAATTATTTTTCCCAAACCATGGAAAACCAGTCTGTAGCCAACTCCACTGAGTTTCTTGAGGATCCATCGTTGTCGTCCGAGGCACCCAGTGCTGCCAATGGCAGCCTGTTCAAAGTGATTGTGCATGCGATATTGTTTGTAGTCGGCGTACCTGGTAACTGCCTCATCCTCCGTGTGTACTGGACCAAGACCCACAAGACCAGCACCCACATCTTCATCATGGCCTTAGCCTGGGCCGATCTCGCCGTCTGCTCTCTGAGGTGGCGACGCATTTCGGTAGAATCCATCCTGTTAGCTGGAGGACAGATCCCAAAAGTTCTTCACATCATCTGGACATTGACGACGACGAGCAGCGCAGCATCCGTTCTGTTCACCACAGTTATCGCAGCAGATCGCTACGACTGTGTGTGCCGAGCGCACAACCGATTCTTCACCAAGAGACGGGCCCAGGCAGCAGTCTGCATGGCACTTTCGTTTTCGTTCGCCATCAACATTCCGGCGTTCATTGCGATGATCACCGATCCTTCCGATGCGGTCCTGAGGGTGCTCGTGTTGGCATTTCAGGTTCTCAGTTTTGGGACTGCATTGGTCATGATCGCAGTGTGCTACGGACTGGTCTATGTAGCCATTCGGAAGCACGTCAGAGTGGGTGTCCTTGCGAGAACCATGCGGGGTCCATCGGTGGCTGGTATGCCCGACTTGATGACAGCTCGCTCCGCTGTGCCAAAGACTTGTGACACCAACATAATACTTGTTCCTGTGACTACTTTCACCGATCCATTACCTAACATCAGTGCTACCGATAAGACTACTGACGCACCCTCCTCGTCTCGGGGAATTCCCGGCCCCTCCCTTGATGCTGCCGGGGAGAAAAATCCACGCAAACTTCAGCCAGTAAACGAAGAACGACCCCGCAATCTCAAAGGGGTAAGTCTACAGCGTAAGACGACAAGGATGCTCTTCATCACTAGTGTGGTGTTCCTGCTGCTCTGGCTGCCCTACTGGACGAAGGTTGTCCTGGAGTTTGCCTCCTTTGGACTCGAGACACCGATCAACCCGACATTTATGAGAGTACTGGGAGATTCGACCGCCCTTCTGTTCGGCAACAGCGCCGTGAACCCAGTTATCTACGGACTCGCAAACAAACGATTCAGAAAAGACTGCTGGCAAGTCCTTCAAAAGATCAAATTGTGGTAATATAAACTCGAATAAAGGCATTTAGATGAGATCACAAAACAAGTGTATAAAAACAAAATGTTAAATTTCATCAACACCGTTGTCATGTTCCAAACCAGTTGTTTCACGGAAATACGCGTACGGGTATGGGATCTGAAAACTATAGTGACGTCGCCCTTATATCAGCATTTTGTGTTGTTATTTCATCTGGTACACAATCGACAATGTACACCTCACCTCAAAATCTAAATGTGTTGTGTAAATCTTGTGAAATTTTCACCCCAAAATGGTGATTTAAAGGCTACTTGTTTCGTGCGGATACGTATCGCGTTTGCGTGCATTTTCTAATGGTCCCTGTTTCTAGCCTCTGGCGCAATTTAATCCATTTTACGACCAGCCTCGCCCTGTGCTTAAACGTTCTCCTCATAACTCTCCAACAGTGGCGTATCCAGAGGGGGATGGCAGAGTGGGCACTCCGCCCCCCCCCCCCCCCAGCGGCTTTGTAATAACATTTTTTTGTTCAACAACTATAATTTTCAATAAATGGTTAGAGAGTTCTGTCATCAATCCCAAAACAGAAAACCCGCTAAAACCATTACAATGCGCCGTGACAATGGGGATATAATTTGCAGTATGCATAATATAGGTCAGTTTTGAAGAGTGCCCCCATTTAGAAGGTGGGAACCCCCCCCCCCCAACTATTTGATTTTACGGAGGCCAAGTGTTGCCCCCCCCCCCCCACACACACACACGCACACTCAACACAGACACATCCAAAGCTGGATACGCTACTGCTTTCCAAATATTTATACATCAGGTATTATGAATCGTTTGTATTAAAACAAAAACCGAAGCAGATTAGAAAATAAATTTATATCATTAACGTAGTGTAAAACCATTCCATCAAAAAGATACCTAGGCCTATATAGAGTCGTTCGCGTTGAACATCGGAATCGTCGGCTGG